GTCTCCCAAAGGGTTCTCCTGGGAATACACTCCAGCTGCACACAAGGTAACAAAGTGGATTTCATTGGCTAGGTCCAAGATCCCCTGCATTTCATGCTTGCCCTCAGCAGATTCAACAGCTGCTCTGATTCCAAATCCCCCTTACTCTGCAATGTTACTAAACACCTTTGCAAGAATGAGTGGCCAGAGATCACATGTCTGTAGCCATTGGGTTGTACCTAGCTGGGACAGGTGAAATGAAACAAAGCCATGTCAAGCTCAAGGAGAGAAAAAGCAGGTTCCGTTTTAATGGCTCCATTAGGGGAATGATTTGTTGATCCATGTCATCTTACTAGTTTTCTTGCCATTCCCAGGAAACACAGCTGGGTAGGACATGTGGTATTTTGGTGAAGGCCAACTCCAGCCAGGTGTTGTTTGTGTCAGTGACCACAGCCATTCTGTCAGGTGTATATCTCTCCTGTGCCTACCAAGTTTTCTACCAAGGAAAACACTAAGCATGGTCTGAGAGGTCAGATTGACCTTCAGGTATTGATCTGCCTTCCTCTTCAGCCTTGGGATGTCTGTGCTGGGGCTGATGGCAGAGCATCTTTTATCCATGATGACTCAGCTTCACGAAGGCTGTGGACAAGACAACTCAATAGAGAATGCCTGTCAGTGGTGCTGGAATCCAGTTATCTAGAGAAGATACTCCATATGTCCCTTCTGAACACGCCTGTCCTAAGTAATTTTGTACGCTCAGTCTTAGGACACACAGTTCTAATCCTATAATTTGATGTCATAACTGAATCAAAGTGCAAACTGCTTGAGCCAACATTTACACTAATTGAGTTCTAAAACATTGAAATTTGGGGCTGGGGAGATGGCTAAGTGGATAAGCATGTTTGCTGCTATTGTAAAAGACCCCAGCTTGGTTCTCAGCACCTTCATCAAGTAGCTCACAACCACCTGTAATCCCAGTTCTAGGGGATCTGATGCTCTCAGCTCTGCTTGGGCACCTGCATGCGTGTGGTGCACATACACATGAATAAAAATAAATCTTTAAAACATTTGTATGCAAGAATACTTGCATCGATTGCTAATCCTAAACAGTGACTGCTGATAGCCAGTAAAATAAGCTCCACTCTGGGAAAATCCGTTTTGTGTCCCCTTCAAAATAATTTTAGGATATAGCCATCCAAAACTGCACACATTCAAAGTCCCATTCTGCTTTCCAACGAAGGATGCACTACATTTAGGTTAACTTATGGAATAATGGAATTTTCAAGTTAGTCCTCTTTTTCTAAAAGAAGTTTTAAGATATTATGTTAGTACACAAGCAGAAAGTCCATAAAAGTCTCACAAATATTTTCTTCTTGTTTTGTCAGTCATTTTTGCATGTGATTTATGGTTGTGATTGATATAAGAAGGTCTGTTTTTAATGTTTTCGAGACTGGGTTTCTCTGTAGACCAGGCTGGACTCGAACTCACAGAGATCCGCCTCCTTCTGCCTCCCGAGTGCTGGGATTAAAGGCATGCACCACCCATGCCTGACTGGTCTTGTATTTTTATATTCCAGCGAATCATACGCCTTTTAAATGCATTTATATTGTAAAAATAAAGCTCGCCTGGCCCACATTTCAGATGATTGCTTTGGTTTAGATGAAAGTAGTCCAAATAATCAAGGCAATTGACCACTCCTTTTGTTGTTAACAAAATTCCTTATACTACATTATTATTCCTCTCCAGTATGTTTCAGTACCTGAACAAAGCTGCCTGAGGAACTTTTAAAAAGACTTATTTCATGATTTATTTATGTGTAAGTATGCCTATGGGAAAGCATGTACACACATGCATGCAGGTGCCCATAAAGGTGTAGGTGTCAGATCCCCTGGTGCTAGAGTTGTAGACAGTGGTAAGCCACCTGACATGATGCTGAGAACCAAACCTGAGTCCTTTGGGAGAACAGCAAATATTTTTAACCACTGAAACATCTCTCCAGTCCCTGTCATGTGTAGTAGGGGGAAACACAAATGACTGAACTTCCCTACCTTTGAAGAAAGTGATTATGTGATACTTTGAATAAGAATGGCCCCCATAGGCTCATATATTTGAATGCTTGGTCGTCAGGGAGTGGAACTGTTTGAAAAAGGGTTGGGAGGTATGACCTTGTTGGAGGAACTATGGGCTTTGAGTTTTCAAAAGCCCATAGCAGCCCTAGTCTCTCTGTGTATCTCTTTGTCTCTCTCTGTCTTTGTCTCTCTCCCTCTCTGTGTGTATCTCTCTCTCTCTTTCTCTCTCTCTCTCTCTCTCTCTCTCTCTCTCTCTCTCTCTCTCTCTCTCTCTCTCTCTCTCTCTCTCTCTCTCTCTCTCTGTCTCTCTCCCCACCTGTAGATCAGGATGCAGCTCTCAGGTACTTCTCCAGCACCACTCATCCCACCGTGTTCCGTTGCCATGATGATAATGAACTAAATCTCTGAAACTGTAAGCAACCCCCAATTAGATGCTTTCTTTTGTAACAGTTGCATTGGTCATGGTGTCTTTTCACAGTAACAGAACAGAATAGAAGAGTGTTGGCTGAAGTCTGACTCAGTAGTTCCAGTGGCTTCTTGAACTTATTCTGTAGTTATTTCTCCAGTCCCAGAAGGTATAATTGGGATAGATATACTTAGAAGTAGTTAGAATTCTCAAATTGGTTCTATGACCTGTGGAGTGAGTGCTATTGTGGTTGGAAAAGCACCATTAAAGTTGCCTCTGCCAAAGAAAACAATGAATCAAAACCAGTATCACATCCCTGTAGGAACAGCAGAAATTAGAGTCACCATCAAGGACTTGAAAGACTCAGGGGTGGTGGTTCCCTTTAATTCTCCTATCTCCCTTTAGTATCTTCATCTATGCAGAAGACAGATGGTTTGTGGAGAATGATAGTTGACTATTGAAACCTCAGTCATGTAGTGACTCTGATTACAGCTGTTGTACCAGATGGAGTGTCCTTACTTGAGAAGATTAACACATTTCCTGGTAGATGGCATGCAGATATTCATCTAGCAAATGTCTTTCTCATGGTACCTGTCTATAAGGACCACCAGGGTTGGCAAATCCAGCAATATACCTTTACAGTTACACCTCAAGCATACATTTATTCTCCAGACCTATGGCATAACTTAGAAGGGATCTTGATCATCTGTGTCTTCCACAAGGTATCACACTAGTGCATTATATTGACAGCATGCTGATTGAAACAAGTGACCAGTAGGTAGCAATCATTTTGGACTCCTTGGTAACACATAAGTGCACCAAAGTATGAGAAATAACCCCCCCAAAAAATTCAAGGGCTTTCTACTTCAGTGAAATTGTCAGGAGTTCAGTGGTATGGAGTATGGGTAGACATAGATATAGACATGATTGTGTGTCACGTTGACAACAGGTGGACCTGTGATGGCTATTTCTTGGTTGTCAACTTGATTACATCTACAATTAACTAAAACCAAATGGCTGGGCACACTTGTGAGGGAATTTCTGTTAACTAAACCATTCAGTATAAAGACCCACTAATAATCCAGCTCTTTGAGGTGGGAAGCTACACCTTTAATCCAGATCTTTGGAGGTAGGAATATCTGCCTTTAATCTAGGCTACACCTCCTGCTGGCAGCCTATATAAAGAATGTGGGAAAGGAAGCTTGCTGTCTTTCTTTGCCAGCTTGCTCTTGCTCTTGACAGCAAGTTCATTCCTTCACTGGCATTAGAGTCAATTTCTTCAGGTTTCCAGCATGTACTAAAGACCAGATGAGACATCCAGCCTCATGGACTGAATAACGCCTAGATTCTTGGACCTTCTGTTGGTACTGTTGGTAGAAAACCACTGTTGATATTAGTAAGACCACAACCTGGAAGCCATTCCAATAAATCATATATATATATGTATATTTATACATTATATATAAAATTCTGTTTCTTTAGAGAACCCTGTTTAATTCAATGAATGTGACCTGGGTCCCTCTACTAGGCATCTATCTGTGTTTACACTTCCTCAGGATGTTGTTATTATTTTGTTTTTTGGTGGTTTTTTTGCATGGACTGAGTTGGGTATTCAGTGTGGGGCCAAAAAATTTTTTTCATTTTCTCCCGAAGGCAGCAATATCAAAAACAAAGTTCTGTCCTCACTATAAACCCTCTCATGGCATGCAAGAATTCAGCCCCACCAACAGACAATATTCACCTGGGTCAAGCATCAATGCTTACAGCTATAGTTGCTATAGATTACAGACATGGAAAACTCTACATTGTGGTAATTGTGACTATTCCTGGCAAATATTACGGCAACAGAACACCCCACTGATAAACTGTGTAATATAAAATATGCAAGAAATAGATGGCTAGGCACGTAAAAGTGCTTGCTTCCCCTGCAGAGGACAAGGGCTCTGTTCTTAGCACGCACTCTCTGAAGGCTCAAAAACTGGAACATCAGCTCTAGGGTATCTGATGCACTCTTCTGGCCTCTGTGGGCACTTGCAAACGTGCACACACACACACACACACACACACACACACACACACACACACACTTTTTTAAAGCAAGCTTGTCTGTATAGTGAGAAATAATTACATGGAACAAAGTTCCTAATTGGATCTGAAAGCCAAAATCATTGAGCATTGCTAAGGGACCTGCTATGGTGCCCCACGTTCTGCAAACTCCTCATTCACGAGGTTTAATGTGAAGATATTTTAAAAGACTAGGGAAAAGCTCTGATCCCAAGAGAACTGACTAGCCCATCCAGATAACAACCATGGAGAAAGTTAATGCTTGAGTAATGTCTGGTATCTGTAATGGCTCTTGCTTACCAGAGTCAGCCCTGGACCAGGAGAACTGACTAGTGGTTGGTTTGAGAGTTCTTAGTCCATTGTGCATCATCCTAACTCCCTGGAGAACTGGCCAATCAGGTTCTGAGACACAGAAGAAGAAAATTTTGTGATGGGGACCTTTGACTCTCAATCCTTGTGTCATCGGCCTGTTTCTCCCACAGGTGCTACAGCGGTCTGAGAGCTTTAACAAGCATCCTGACAAACAGGTAACATGGAAGGTTTTGTTCCACCATCAAGATCATCTGTGAATATGTCCTGACCTTGCTGGGTACTGGGGAGGGAGGGTCGTAGTTTGGTGTTTAAGCTGATAAAAGAAACACTCCTAGAAAGTGTCCAAGGTACGGGGGCCACGAACAGTCTGGACTATGCCTTCTTGTGTCAGTATCTAGGTTTCAGTGCTCAGGACACCTGGCATATATAGAGCTGTCTTTGATTGACCTTCCATTTTCCCCTAGATGTCAATCAAATGAGTCAGCAGAAATTCAGTCCCTTTCTTCCCGAGACTCTTGTACTGGTTTTTCTATAACTTTGTCCCTGACAGATGCAGAGAACATGGCAGGCGCTACCCTGCTTTTCTATTACTTGGAATAAAGCAAAATGTAGCAGTTTAGAATGTGGCATGAAGGTTCCATTTAGGCAAAGAAACAGGAATTGAAGGTTAGCAAGATGGCTCAAAGACTGGTGGCCTGAGTTCAATCTCTAGAACCCACATGGTGGTTGTCTCATGACCTCCACAGGTAGTCTGTGGCATACACTTATACACACACACACACACACACACACAGTCATTAAAAATGTTTTAATAGTATAGAACAGAGCTTCCAAAATAGATATGACAAGATAAAAGATATGATCATGTGAGATATGATAATGTGAAATATAAGATGGCCATTGCAAATCAAACCGTGTCTCAAAGCAACTTTATTTGACTACAGTGTATGAGAGACAGACAAAAAACAGGAAGGTGGCAGTAATAAAGAGGCCTCTGAGTTTACTGGATTATGTGACTTTATATTTTCAGGCTTTCTTGGTGTTCCCGAGGCCATTGGATAATACCAGTCATGGATAGAGAAAAGCCTGAAGCCAGTCCCAGCTCATCAGAATCAAACATGGAGCAGATCACACCCAGGGAGTTAAAAGGCAGAAAACCTTCCAATAATATCCTGATATATTTGATTGACAGGCAGCTGGGGAGGCCCAGAAATCATATGAATTTATTTGAATGGGTTTGTACCATAGCATAAGTACCTGCACAGAGTAGTCTTTGCCAAAATTAATGTTTATGTACGACTGTTTGTTTTAAAAAGAAGCAGAATCGCAAGACACTCTCATGCTTGATCCATTAAACTAAGCATCATTGCAACTGCTTTTGGTACATTGTGTGTTTCTTGACTTGGCTTTCTTGGGTTGCATGAGGCAGGATATTGTATCCATCTTGATATTCCTCTTGTGAGATCTCAGATACAAGGAGGATGGGGAGGTTGCATTGTGCATCATGTTTCTTCCACTACTAATCTGAAAAGTAATTGTGTATGCATAACTCTGCAGCACACAGCCATTCAATACCCAAAACTCTCCTCACTAGCCATTTTAGAGAGACATCCACTGTATCCCACTGTAAAAACCCAACCTGGTGGAAGGGCACTGGTGAGGGCCAAAGCAGAGCTAGGTTGGCATTTTAGAATACTCGCAATTTAGAGTTGATCGGTATTCCCAGAGAACTGTCATGATATTAACTGTGTCATGTTAAGCAAACCTATTCAGATCTCAATGCACGGGAAAAATTCCTTTGACCAAAGCACATAGAGCTCATAACCATGAGCACTGGTGCAATGACTCCTATTCAAAAAGCTCTAAACGAGTGTTCTAAACAAATCATACTCACTCTGAGAAATTCAGAATGGAAATTGTGTAAGAAATTGGGAATTAAGAAATGACAAGTCCCCATCCCTTAATGGCTCCAGGAGAGTACCCTTGCTGGCCACTATACTCGTAGATTGGGGCCTAGTCCAGTTATCATCAGAGAGGCTTCATCCAGCAACTGATGGGAACAGATACAGAGATCCACAACCAAATACTAGGTGGAGCTCGGGAAATCCTGCCAGAGATGAGGAGGAAAGACTATAAGAGCAAGAGGGGTCAAGGACACCACAAGAAAATCTACAGAATCAGCTAACCTGCCTGGGCTTATAGGGCTCACAGAGAATGAAGCGACAACCAGGGAGCCTGCATGGGACTGACCTAAGCCCTCTTCATATGTGTTACAGCTGTGTAGCTTGGTCTTCTTGTGGGGCTCCTGACAGTGAAAGCAGGGATGTCCCAGATCTTTTGTCAATTTTTGGGACCCCACCACTTATACTGGGTTGCCTTGTCCAGCCTTAATACAAGGAAATATGCCTAGTCTTACTCCAACTTAATATATCCTGTTTTATTGATAACCATTGGAGGCCAGCCCTTTTCTGAATAGAAACGAGGAGGAGTGGATGGGGGGGGGGCACAGAGGAGTTGGAAGACGGGGTGGGAGGAGATGAGGGAGAGGAAATTGTGATCAGGATATAAAATAAACAACAAATAAAACAATTTTTAAATAAATGACAAATTTCCTGACCCTCACCGGCAGTAACAGCTGGAGAAGCCAGCCCCGCACCCATGGGAAGCTGGTCCCAGTAGTACGAGACTGGAGAACTAGCTTGATTGGGAGGAAGGATTCTAGGTGGAAGTCCGGGCTGACTAACTCAGCTACCACCCAGCTCCATAGTCAGGATTTTGAGTTTGCCCACCCCAACATCTACCCCATCTACAACCTGTTGGAGTGTATGAAGGGACAGATCCTTCCAAACCATAGCCTCAGGATCTCCGTATCTCCGGGTAACAGCAGGATATTCCAGGGGCATTTTGGTGAGGGTTCAGTATTGGTATAGAAGAAGCCAGAGCAGACCAACATTTCATTGTAATGAACATTTGCAAGTAAAACTGTGTGGGTAAAAGGGTCTACTGTGTGACAAATCACAGCTCCTATGCCACTCCAACAAACAAATATGTGACAGAGAGTCAGAGGTAGGCAGGATGGAGCAAAATGGGTTTTTCTTTTCTTATTTTTTTGGGGGAGGCTAAAGGGTGGATGTGGACATGAAAAGACTAGGAAATGAGTGGTATTGGGGTGCATGATGTGAAATCTCCAAGCTGGGGAGCAAGTATCCAAATGCCTGAGACTTACAGGGACATGTCATTCATAATACCAGAGTATATCTTATCTACCCATACTCCTTATAATTCCTTCAAATTCCCAGGCCCCCATGACCCTCGTTCTTTTGTGGCACTGGAGGATGGACCTCGCAGCTCTCTTCCAGACACCCAAACTGGGTATATTTTTTTCTAAATTATTGTTTCTTATTGCTGTTAGTGGGGATTTTTTGTTCTGTTTTTAAGACAGGAGCTGTCTATGCAGGCCAACCTGGACTTCAAATTTCTAAATTTCTCAGACTGGCCTCAAACACAGGCCTCTCCTGTTTTAGCTTCTCAAGTGCTTTTACTACCGTGCCTGGTGAAAGCCACAAATATTAAAAGGAACATACATAAACATAATAAAGGCAATATACATCAAACTAAATGGAGAGAAACTCAAGGTGATTCCTCTAAAATCAGGAACAAGACAAGGCTGTCCACTCTCTCCATATGTCTTCAATATTGTACTTGAAATTCTATCTAGAGCAATAAGACAACAAAAGGAGATCAAGGGGATACAAATTGGAAAGGAAGAAGTCAAAATTTCATTATTTGCAGATGATATGATAATTTACATAAGTGACCCCAAAAAATTCTACCAGGGAACTCCTACAGCTGATAAACACCTTCAGCAATGTGGCAGGATACAAGATCAACTCAAGAAAATCAGTAGCCCCACTATATACAGACGATAAAAAGGCTGTAAAAGAAATCAGGGAAACAATTTACAATAGCCACAAATAATACAAAATATCTTATGGTAATCCTAACCAAACAAATGAAAGACCTGAATGACAAGATTAAATCTCTGAAGGAAGAAATGTCTGAGAGAAATGGTTGTTTTTGGAGTCAAGTGCAGCTACTGGATGCATGACAGACCAACTGCATCAAGGAGCTGTGGTAAGGAAGATGACTTTATTTGAAAAGCCAGCTGAACTAGAAAACGGAAACCTCTTTTTCAAAGTCCATCATATATTTTCAAGCCAGTGAAGGCTTTTTTTAAAATTATTGTTTTTATTTTAAGTCTATTTGTATTTTGCTTGTATGTATGACTGTGCACCATATGCACAGCTGGTACCTGTGGAGGCCAGCAGAATATGTTGTAACCCTTGAAATTGGAGTTATAAGTGGTTGTGAGCCACTATGTGGGTGCTGGGAATCAAACCTTGGTCATGTGGATGACCACCAAGTGCTCTTAATCACTGAGCCATCTCTCCAGACCCAAAAGACTTTTGTAAAAATGGGCAGTTTAAGGAAGTGGAATAAAATGGTTGAAAGATTGAAACTTCAGGCCAAGGGCACTATAAGAGGCAGCTATGTATGTTGGATGCCATTTAGACTTTCTAAATTTCTGTAACTCAGAACACATTCTTGTAAGTATAGATAGATGGTCATCTCTTCTAGTCTCATTCTGTTGCTGTGATAAAATACTCTGACAAAAAGCAACTTGGGGGAGGAAAGGGCTTATTTGGCTTATAGTTGCAGGTTGCAGCATTTCAATAAGCAGCATTCCTTTGTGGTTTCGGCTTCAAGTTCCTGTCTTGACTTCCTGCCTTGCTGTTCCTTGGGGATGTACTCCAAGCTGTAAGATGACATGAACCCTTTCCTCCCCAAGTTGCATTGGTTATGATGTGTAGCATACCAACAGCCACCTAACTAGGACAGAAGGCTACTGGAAGAGTAGGCAATAGAGGAGGCCATGGGGTTCATAGCAGCCAATGATGAGAAGCCAGAGGAGTATGGACTGGCTGTGTTTACATAGGTGTCTCAGAGGGAAGGCTATTAAGGGGGACTCAAGACTAGAGAGAACTTTGAGGGTTAATCAGTGTGGTAATATATTATTTATGATTTATTAAAACTTGACTGAGGTTCAGAAAGAAAAGTCAGCCACAAGCTACAGAGGTCAGGCAGTGGTGATGCACACCTTTAATCCCAGCAGCCATAGATCTAGGTAGTGGTGGTATACACCTTTAGTCCCAAGACTCAGGATTAAGAGGTAGACGGATCTCTGTTAGTTTAAGGTCACACTGGCCACACAAAATTGATTCAGTCCTAAAGAGAATCAGCTCGCACAAAGATGATCCCAACACTTGGGAACACACGCCTTTAATCCCAGCACTAGGGAGGCATACAAGCAAAGGGTCTCATGTGGAGATGGATTCTCTTCAGCCACAATGAGGAGAGAGAGCCTTTTGCCTCTGAAGACTCGTGGGGACAGGATTGTCATTTCAGCTGGGTAGAGGTAAGATTTACTGTCGTGGCTGCTTTGCTTTTCTGATATTCAGCTTGAAGCTTGAACTCCAATGTCAGTTTCTATATCTTTTATTTTTTGTGCTACAATTCAGGGGGATTGTAGGTGTTCCTCTCCAACTCTTTGGGGGTGTTCCTGAATGCAAAACCACAAGATTAATGTTATTTCACCAGGAGTGGGGCTAGAGGTCTGAACTTCTTGAGGAGGGAATCCCAGCCCGTGGTCCATGGGAACACTTCAGCTGAGTCATCCAGTAGCAGGTAGGGAGGGATCTTCACTGATGCCCATTGAAGCAGGGACAACGTGGCTAGAAACAGAGCCTCCAACTTCCACTAAAGTCCACTTCGGTAGCCACAGTAACCTGTGGAAAGGATAGTCCCAGGGACTCTGTGCAGGGTGTGGCCTCTCCGTACAGCTTTTGGCAGCTGGGTGCAGAGTCCCACACGTATATTCATGTCTCGGAGAAGAGTAGGTGCCTTTTGCTAGATTCTGAAAGGCTGAAGGGCAGAGATCACACGTTCTTGTCACCACTACCGTGTCTCCTTTCTCATGGAGTGCCCTCCTCTGCTGCAGGTGACTTCCCTGTTGACTACCCAGAAAAGCAGCTGAGACCTGAGACCTCAGGGCCCAAGACTAAGCTGTAATCAGTCAGCCCAGGGGCACAACGGCTGCATCCAGGAAATCTGCCATGCAGGCCCCCTCAGTGAGCCACCAAGACCCTCTGCCTCGAAAGAATGCCACACCCTGGGAAGCCTCCTACCAACGCTTCAGTCAATTCCAATATGAAGAAGCAGCTGGGCCTCGAGAAGCCTTCTGCAAGCTCTGGGAGCTTTGCTGTCAATGGCTGAAGCCACAGATACGGTCTGTGGACCA